CCATGCGATCTACCCACGCTACATTTATGACCAGTAGATCATATGACGACCAGTGATCGTCATATTGAACACCCCTGATCTAGATGTTATAACAATGACTGAAAAATTTCTTCGTGAGCATAAAATTTTAGCAAGTTAGGTGGCTTGTGATCAAGTGATGCTAACCATATGCATACCTCTGTACCATAATTATATATTTTCCTCCAGAATGAAAGGTATCTAGATCAGCACTATGCAATATGGTACTTCGAGCCACATGTAGCTGGCTAACATGTTGTGAAATTAGGAACGACTTCCTCAGTTGGACTAGATACATTCTAGTACTCAGTAGCCACATTGGGCAAGTGGCAACCACACTAGATAGTGCATTGTCACCATAATACAAAGGTCTATTGAACAACACTGTCCTAGTTGGATGCAGGGGTCCTCAAACTACGGCCTGTGGGCGACATGCGGCCCGCCGGGTGTTTTTGCCCCGTTTGTTTTTTTACTTCAAAATAAGATATGTGCAGTGTGCATGGGAATTTGTTCATAGTTTTTTTTTAAACTATAGTCTGGCCCTCCAACAGGTCTGAGGGACAGTGAACTGGCCCCCTGTTTAAAAAGTTTGAGGACCCCTGCTAGAGGACTAAAACCAGTAGCATGTTTATACTTATATGTATATATATAAGTATGTGTATTTATGAAGTCATGGTGGTGCGGTGGGCTACACACTGGAGTGCTGCTAATTGCTAGGTAAGTGGTTCTTATGTACCAGCTGCTCCATGGTAGAAAGATGAGGCTTTCTGCATCCATGAAGATTTACAGCCTTGGAAACACTATCTGGTTATTACAAGTTGGAATCAACTCAACAAGAGTGGGTTATATATGTGTGTACATCTATTTATACATATACACACACATATATCTGTGTAAAAATATAAACTGCCATCGAGTTGATTCTGACTCATAGTGACCATATAGCACAGGGTAGAACTGCCTCTAGGATCGAAATTGAGAGAGATTGTTTGATTCACATCAAGAAATAGCCCTTGGAATTGTGCAGGCAATCAAGGATCAAGTCCCAGGTCTGTAGATCAGACAGTAGGCTGGAGACATCTGCTAGCTCATAGGAGTGCAGAGATTGTGAATCAAAGTTTACAAGGTAGGTGGCCAACTAGAGACTTCTACAGGCTTATAGTCTAAGGACTAATTGTGAAGCAATGAGAAGGCAGAGTAGAGAGAAGACTGTGTGAACTTGGCCAAAGTATCCATTTATGTACTGGGGTCAGGCTACCCCCAAGACTCCATTCAACTGATTGGATGATCAAATAAGCTCACAGTCTGGAAGGTGATTACATTGCATTAAGTTGTGTTGTTGTATTGCATTAAAGTAGAGCATTCTGACAATATAGAACTCTTAATTAAGCTGTACAACATTTGTTGTTTGCTTATCTATTGAAATTAGTTGTCTATTTAAAAATTTTAAAGCCACACAAAAAGGTCCACATTTTTGATGGCATATTTCAACATGAGATCGTACAAAACTTGATTCCACATTATGCTTCAGGGCAATGGTCTGTTAGAACTGTGCTACAATTACCTTCTTGCCCTCACCTGACTCCTCTTACTTACTCCTGCATATTATTTATTGTTGGACCCTTCCTAGTTTCTCTTTTATACAAAGGCTACACTTCCCAGGAGGCAACTTATGGCGGGGATGATTGACAGGTTGGACTCTACTTGTCCACAAGTGCAAGTTGACGTAAAATCCAAATATCACAGTGTCAAAGGGCATAAGATAAAAACGAGAGAATATTTTTTTAGAAGCTTCATATTTTAAATATCAATAACAAATATTTATGCTGTCAAAGTTATACCTGTGACTCACTTATCACTTTGTTTTCCTTCAGATTCGTGTTCTTGTGCAAGAACGGGGTGCACAGGACAAGCGGATCCAGGATCTGGAAGCTGAGTTTGAGAAGATGGAAGCAAAACTAAATGCTGCAGTAAGGGAGAAAACTTCTCTTTCTGCAAATAATGCTTCCCTGGAAAAACAGCTTATTGAATTAACCAGGACTAATGAACTTCTAAAATCTAAGGTACTTGAACTTCATAATTACATTTACACTCATATAAATAATAAGTGTGTATTTTTTCATTTTAGCAATTTTGGAATTTTAAGCTCTCATTTGACTATTTCATCTCTAAATGTACCTTACATGTTAAGTTGCTTCACATATGAAATGTTATTTCAACTTTTTATTTTCATGCCTAGTGGTTATAACAAACAAGTGACCTTCTGCTTAATGTCTGATGTTTGTTATCTTCCCTCAAGATCCTCCCCCCAGTAAATAAGACCATTAATGAAGTCACAGAATTTGTACCTAGAGGTCACTTTAAAATTATTTCTCTGAAATAAATAGTAGCATATCAGCAGGATTTCATCAAAGATTTATTGGTAATAAAGTGTGAAAAGAATAAATTAATAGAGTAAATGTGCTCCATAGATCGACTGTGATTATCAATAGTAACAGCCTACTAGGAGGGGGCTTCACAAATTTGGTGGGAAAATTCCATTATCTTTTATATATATATATATATACACACACACACACACGCATATATATATATACACATATATATATCATTTTTTTTCTCAGACATATTTTTAAAAAATATTTTTTTGACATATAATTCACATAACATGCACTTCAATAGTCATGAAGGGTTGCACAATCATCACCATATTCAGTCCCGGAACATTTTCTTCTTTCTTGTACCCACGACTTCCACCTCTCCATTTTCCTCAACCACCCTCCCCACACCATCAGTAAATCATTAATCCACTTACTATCTTTATATATCCTTCCATCATAGTTTTCTTTTTTTTT